CATACGTACATATGTATGTATATAAAAACTATGATTGCCAAAATAGAAAATGCTTAGTCATTTGCGCATATTATTTTTCACTCAAAAAATGTTTATACACAACGAGGTGTGTACACATTTTTTTATATATACATATAAATATACTTCTATAGTATACCATATACTAATTATAGTATATACACAATACGTACATACTATGTTTTTAATCAAGTACACATTTCAATTGGTTTCTTAGATACTTGGATTGTCAATTTCACCACAACAAAATGACGTCGCAGTTTTTTAGGCATTAAATATGCATATCCGCCCAAACAGAAATACAAATACTTGTAGTTAGTATTTAAATCTTATCAATATTTATATAAATTTATTTAAAATTTATAAATATATACATATATACATAGAGTATTATAATGTATATATGTACGTATCTTTAGATTTCCAGTTTTACTGAATTGAATTTGTTTAGGAAACACATGACCAATTCAACATTTCTAATCTGCATACATTTTAATCATTTAACCATAGGTAGGTATATTCTCCTATGGGACAAGAAGTGAGTAAAGTAAACAGAAAGAACGCAATTTGTTTGAGAACATTCTAAAATCTTATCGCTCAAATATGTAGCTAATGACGAACAATATGTAGAACATGTTATCAACACGTTTGTATGTTTATTTTTGCATTGCCGCTCTTATCACTGCCAATTAGTGACAAGAACCCTTAGCAAATAACTGATATGAATTGTTAATAATATATAACAGCCATAAATTCCCACCTACCTCGTATAAGTTTATTTCATTTCCTTTTGATGTATCTCATTATTAAAGGTTGCATGACATGCAACTTTCTACAATATTTACATTTGTATATGATATCTAACATAATAATATATCTAACGTACATTGCAGTCACGTGGATAGAACTACATACATATATGTTATGTATGTATGTAAATAAAAAAGTAACAAATTGGCTTCTGTCTTCTTATGAAATTCAGAAGTTCAAATCATGTTCCAACATGCATTCAAACGATCTTAAAGTATTTCAAAGAATTTTTTTATTTGCTTCCCTCTTTTTCCAATATCACGAAATTCGTATCTGTAGATTGATGACAAACAATGACTTGAGAGTATATTTAATTAATATAGACATAGCAAGATCTTTAAGGTACTTTATTTGTATTTAAATTAAAATTTGCGAGATCGAGTTTTTGTCGATGAATTCTTCCTAAGAAAGATGAATTCTTTCAGTCGGAAAAGAATTTCATCAGTATGCGAATTAGTTCAATACTACTATAAGACCTTAAGCAAGAAAAGAAAAGCTAGTAAAACTCCAAAGGTAATAGCATTTGGCATTTTGGTGACGTTTATAAATCGCTTGGGGGTGCAGAGTTGTTGTTGTAACCCGCCGGGACCTGTAAGCAAATAAACATGAAAGGAAACACAAGACGAATACATAAGTAGGGAAGTGGAAAGAAAGTTAGAGGTGTGTATAAACCGTCATCCTGAATCCAGGCGAAGAAACCAAGCCACTTCAATGGGGTGAGTCCAAAGGTTAATTGGACGAAGGTTTGTGTGTGCAGAAGGACATTAAAACAGATAGGCGACGTCATGGGGAGAACAGCTGCAGTTAGGGCACACATTGTGGATGGACGTATTTATGCGAGACAAGTAACTGTTTAGCACTCGGCTATATCCTGATCTCAATTGAGCAAGGACAGTTCTTGCTGCACGTGGAAGACAACGTGGAAAAATCTCAACTTCGCTTTAGTTTTTAACATATTTTTAATATTAAATGCTTTTGCATAACGTTATATCTAATGGAATCAGTTAGAGAAAGGACAATGTTTATAGCTAAAAATCACTTATCACCACTCGGTTGCCCTTCAAACCAAAAGTTCGCATTTAGCTAAGTAACAAACCTATCAGGTTAATCTAGAATGATTTACTATAAAGTTACAAATACGATCAAGTACAGTAGATCTTTACATATATATGAATTTGTTGAACTACGAGTACTAATCATTACCAATTTTCCCTTAATTATTGTCTTCAAAAATAAGATACAATCTTTGGGTTATCCCTGATTTACTTCGATTATCTAAGTATGTTGCCTCTAGAAGTACTCAATACACCTAATTCTTTGTAAAATAGAGAAAGTTTAATTTAAAACGTATATTGGATTATCTTGTGAGTAATATGTAATATTATATATAATATATTTTCTCAAAACTCAAAATAAATCAATTCCATTACAAAGCAAAGCAAACAATTTATATAGTATTGCAGTACATGGTATAATCTATCAGCTATAATTAACTGTGATTTTTTTTTCAATTTTTAAAGATGTTTTATTATTAATTGCATCTAAGCTCACAGAAAAATTCCATACAGAAATAAAAATAAAAATAAAAAATTTCATAAACTGATAATATTAATTAACATTTTTAAATGTAAAATTAATAGATTTCCAGAAAAAAAGAAGAGCTAGCTTGTATTTCTGCTTAAAGCCCTTAATAAAGTCACATAAGTGTAGGTCATTTCTAAGTTTTTAAATTTAATGCGACTTTAAATATTGATTGCTTGATTAATTATCACTTTATAGTAAATTAAATAATTTTTTATTTTTATTTAATTTGATTATTTTTATAATACAAAATATCAAATAATTTTTTTTTATTTTATGTGATTTATTATTGATATTTTTTTGTATTGTATTCATTTACATTTTTTTGCGATATTTATTTTTTTTATTTAAGAAAAAATAAAAATTATTTTTATATATTATACATTATAAAAATACATTTTGCGTTTTTAAAATATAAAATAATTTTTCAATATATGCTAAAAATTTTAAATAAATTATTTTAAAAATACCATAAGTAAAAATTATGCTAAGTTTGCTTTGTATTCTATATGTATACAAAAATATTTTGTTTTTTGGGAGAGTAGCTCTTTTTCTAAAGAACATTTTTAGAATTTGCTCTAAGAAACATTTATATTTAAATGTTTTTAACATTATTGCAATTAATCACAAGTATTCTATTGAATAAACTATTTTTCCTAAATAACTATTTTACTCAATTTATTACTAAAAATTACAAAAAAAAAATGACACTAACACTAACAGGGACTACAGACTAATAGCACAGAGCTTCTGACCTTTATTAATCTTACAAAGGGAATCAAGATATCCAATTTATGTGAGTAGCTGATATGCGGTATTGAAGTGTTGCAGTTTCTGAACTAATATATATAAGTCCCTGTAACTCCATCTATATATATATTAGTTCAGAAACTGCAACACTTCAATATCGCATATCAGCTACTCATATAAATTTGATATCTTGATTCCCTTTGTAAGATTAATAAAGATCAGATAGCTCTGTGCTATTAGTCTGTAGTCCCTGTAGCAGCTTCACACGTCAATTCCTGATTCTAAACACATATGCAATTAAAAAAAAAGCAGAAATAATGGAAACCATGTACTTGACAAGTGCTATAAGCATAATTATAGAAACATCCAATCTTTTATCAGTGGGGGAAGCGGACTATTTTCGTTTTTAATAGAGAAATGATAATCTCTCGTTACAACAAAATTCTTTTATATATTTTATATCATGACCAGAACCGTTGAATCCTTTTTTGACCTTTTTTAATTATAACAAATATTGTCATTTTCATATCTAAGAGTTATGATTCTTCTCTTTCTCAGTAGAGTGCTAGTCTTCAGACTATTCCTTATTATTCCTATAATAAGGAATATTCCTTTTTAATTTAACTTTTATTTTATTTATATATTTTATTACAACATAATATAGTATCTTATATCTTGCAATTTATCATACAAAGAAGTTTTATGCAGTAGTATGATAACAGAAGTATATTACTCATGTACTATATCTTCGACTGCACTATATTATAAGTATATCATACTGTATCTTTAATGGAGTTTTTACTCAATTGCTATTATTTTTCTAAATAATAAAATTAATTCAAAATTATTATACTACTTAAAAGACTGTATTGTTTTCAGATCACTTGAATCTTTTCTCTAAATATATCTTATATTATATTATTAATCACTTCTATTTTTATCTTAAGAATATCAAATTATTCTTTTAAAAACGAAACACTGTGATGAAATCAGTTTTATATATTTAGAAAAATATTTTTTTTTAAATTTATTGATATTAATTTTTAATTAATCAGTGGACTTTTAAACAAAATTCCGGAATAAAAATGTTGAGTTCCCAATTCAAATACTTCCAGGTACAAAACTTTCAGCAAATTAATCTCAACCATTCTCTGGTATGTTTTTTACCCATTTTTTATTTTACTTTTTATTCTAAAAAAATTACAAATAGAGACCTTCTTTAATTTACCTGACCCTAGCTACCAAAACTGTATCTAGGGTTACTTTTTGCCTATTTTGATCGGAATAGTAGGAACTTAGAGACATAATAGTTGCAGCAATAATATATATCTTGGATCAGCCTATTTGTGTATAATAATTTTTTTATTTATTTTTTTTATAAGATCTTTTTTATTTATTTTTTTTTAATAACTTTTTTATTTATTTTTTTTTAATAACTTTTTTATTTATTTTTAATTAATACTAAAAGTCTGTTTTCAAAAGAAGAAGAACGTAATTACTAAAATTTTACTGAATACGAGTAATTAAAATTTAAAACGATATGCAAAATGCATTCCAGAATTTGCATCAATTATTGTTCATTTACAACTTTTCCTATTAAGACAATTAAGCTTTTAATTCAAAATAGATCATATTTATTATAGAAATGATAGAGGAATTTCAGCATTCCATTTTTAAAATAAAAAAAAAGTTATTAAATATGTAGTTTAAAGATAAAATGCGCATTGCATTTTATTAAAAATATCAAATGACTTTAATTTCTTATTTTTTATAATTAATTACAGGGTGATTTTTTTAAATGTTCTTCAACATATATATTAATTTAAATTTTTTCTATTTACAGAAATGGGTCTTTTAAGCGAGGGTAGTCCACTTTCATGGGAAGAAACAAAAAAATTAGCAGAACATGTACGCGAACATGGTATTAATCAATTCATAAATCTCTATCACAGATTGAAAGATCGCCAAGGTGATATTCTTAAATGGGGCGATGAAGTCGAATATATAATCGTAAAATTTGATGATGAAAACAGAGTAGCGCGAGTATCGTTAAAAGCCCAAGATTTACTAGCAAAATTAAATGAAAAAGAAATAGCCGATCCACATGGTGTCAAATCACTATGGCGGCCAGAATATGGGGCTTATATGATAGAAGGTACACCAGGAAAACCATTCGGTGGTTTAATGGCAAATTTAAATTTAGTCGAAGCAAATATGCGATACAGACGACAAGAAGTAACACAATTATTGGATAAAGATGAATGCGTTATGTCTATAACGAATTTCCCACGTTTGGGTGCACCAGAATTTACTTATCCCATATATTATCCTAAACCAGATGATCCAAAAAGTGCAGCAAAATCACTTTATTTTCCAGATGAGGCTATCTTTCCAGGACATCCACGATTTAAGACGCTCACTCGTAATATAAGACAAAGGCGTGGTGAGAAAGTGGCTATAAAACTTAAAGGTAAGTGTAGTAGTAGATGGTAGTAGATTATAAATGATATAATCTCAGTGATTCATTTCATTTCTCTAATACATAATAAATTAAAAATTTGTTTCGTCAATATATTGTTAATGTTTTAGATATGGAAGTTAGATTAGTTTTATAGCCCCTTTTTCTAAACTTCTATTTAAATAAATAATTCTGATTTAACACGCCACTCAATTACATATCAATCTCACATAGTGCGTCGATCCTTACCATTAAAATAATGATATACATAATAAATCATTGTTCTATAAATTCATTTCAAACTTAATATCTATCTTAGATAATTTATTACAATGAGTCGGTCCTTATCATTGAAATAATGATACACAAAAAAAAGCCATTCTTTTATAAAATTATTTTGGCTTTATTGCTATAAGTTTGATTCGTGTCATGCAATCCTTTAACAGAAGTAGTAAACGATAATTAGTTGTTGTTGTAGCTCACAAGAATCTGCTTGTGTAGACCCTTTAAGTATGCTAAACGACACTTAGCAGTCGAACTAGACGAGGGCTCCGTGACGTAGACCCGGTCGTTCTTGAAACCTATAATTGGTTGTTCTGGACAATTAACTGTTGGAAAGTCCTTTCATCAGTTTCTGTAATATGTTACCCTAAACTTATTACTTATCCTATAATGATTTATTCGAAAAGTAAAAGTGAACAAGGCGTCGTAGCGTTAAATGAGGAGTGTTGCCAATCTATTGATATAATCTAAATTAAAAAACAAATATTGTAGCAATTTCATATCAACCCGAGAAGTAGACTACGCTTCAATATACACCAATTAGAAAGAAGAGTTAAATTATCTATAAATTCTATTTTTCTAGCTAGTAAATCCGATATAATTTTAGACTTCATTTTTTAACCCATTAATTATTTATAACTAAAAATTTCCTAATGTCATTTTTTTTTCTAATTTCAGTATTTAATGACGAGAATACCAAAATTCCTGTGCTTGGCGCACCAAAGAATGAGCCAGACGTTGTATTATTAGATGCCATGGGCTTTGGTATGGGTTGTTGTTGCCTACAATTAACATTCCAGGCTTGTAATATTACTGAGGCGCGTACATTGTACGATCAGTTAGCGCCACTCTGTCCAATAATGTTAGCTTTAACAGCTGCCTCACCAATATACAGAGGTTATCTAACTGAATCGGACTGCCGTTGGAACGTTATCAGTTCATCAGTAGATTGCCGTACTGAAGAAGAACGTGGTCTAAAACCATTGCGTGAAAATAAATTCCGTATAGCGAAATCACGTTATGACTCAATTGATTCATATCTTTCAACGGAGGGAGGAAAATATAATGATGTTCCACTGACCTATGATGAGAAAGTGTATAAACGCTTGAGAGATGGTGGAATTGATGATTTACTTGCGCAACATGTGGCACATCTTTTCATACGTGATACAGTTTCATTATTCAGCGAGAAAGTACATCAGAATGATGAAGAAGATACAGATCATTTTGAAAACATACAGTCCACAAACTGGCAAACGATGCGTTTTAAGCCACCACCACCGAATTCATCGATCGGCTGGCGTGTGGAGTTCAGGCCATGTGAGGCACAAATTAGTGATTTTGAAAATGCTGCATTTGTATGTTTTGTTGTATTATTGACAAGAGTGATTTTATCGTATCAACTAAATTTCCTCATACCCATAAGTAAAGTGAGTATTTTTTAGACGATTTTTCGATATTTGGAACAATGCCAAAATGATATATTTTTTTAAATAAATAATTTTTAGGTTGATGAAAATATGCAAACAGCACAAAAACGTGATGCTTGCCGTAAAGAGAAATTTTGGTTCCGTAAAGCACATCATCGTGCACGAGCACCCGAACTTAATGGTACTGTTAACGGCACCAAAGAGAATGGTGTTAACGGCTACGATGAAAACTATGAACTTATGACTATAGGAGAAATTTTTAATGGCAAGGTAAGCTTTTTAACATCACTTCACAAATATTAAACAAATATTTATATATTGTTTTTTAATTAATATTTTAGCCCAATACTTTCCCGGGTCTAGTGCCACTTATTCGCAGTTATTTGCAGTCCATGGAAGTTGATACCGACACTCACTGCACCATCGAACAATATTTACGTTTCATACAAAAACGTGCTTCTGGAGAATTTGTAACCACAGCAACTTGGATCAGAACAAAGGTCTTGCAGCATCCAGATTACAAGTAAGCAATATTAATTTATAACCTGCTTTATATTTATATTTTTTTTTTTAATAGACTACTAAATAGATATACTAATTTTTTTTATTTTTACAGAAAAGATTCAATTGTGAGTGACAGCATCAATTATGATTTGC